AGTGACAGAATATCAATCTTCATGAGCAAGCACCTTACATGCACCCATGTAAGTGAATTAAAGTTTTCTTTTTCATATATACTACTAGAAAATAGGCCATGAATTAGTATGTTCAAACTTTCAAAAAATCACATGTATGCATCAGGTTAAATACTCCAATGATAAAGCGAGACTATTTTGGAAAAAAGTGACAGAATGCCACTTTTTCGTAGAAAAATGACACAATGTCACTTTTTTTTCAGAAAAAGTGATAAATTGTCACACTCTCCATGAGCAAACACCTTACACGCATCCATGTAATGGATTCAAAGTTTTTTTTTTTTCATATGGATTACCAGAAAACAGGGTATGAATTGGTATGTTCAAACTTTCAGAAAAGCACACTTGTGCATCTAGTTAATTGCTCCAATAATAAAGTGTGACTATTTTGGAGAAAGGTCACAGAATGTCACTTTTTTGTAAAAAAGTGACACAATGTCACTTTTTTTTTTAAAGAAAAGTGGCAGAATGTCACCCTCTCCATTTGCAAACACATTGCACGTATCCATGTAATTGATTCAAAGTTTTCATTTTCATATGTATTCTCAGATAACAAGGCATGAATTGGTATGTTTAAACTTTCAAAAAAGCACGCGGATGCATCCAGTTAATTGTTCCAATGATAAAGGGTGACTGTTCTTGTAGAAAGGTAATGATGTCACTTTTTCGTTGAAAAGTGACACAATGTCACTTTTTTGAGAAAGGTGACAGAATATCACTCTTCACAATCAAATATCTTGCAAGCATCCATGTAGTCGATTCAAAGTTTTCTTTTTCATATGTATTATCAAAAAATAAGGTATGAATTGGTGTATTCAAACTCTCAAAAAAGCACACGTATACATTCGATTAATTGCTCCAATGATAAATGGTGACTGTTTTGGAGAAAGATCACAAAATGTCATTTTTTCTAAGAAAAGTGACAGAATTCCACTTTCTCACATTCTCCTATGAGCAAACACGTTGCAAATATCAATGCAATTTGTTCAAAGTTTTCTTTCTCGTATGTATTACCAAAAAATATGGCTTAAATATATATATTCAAATTTTCAAATACTCACACATGCATATCTAGCTAATTGCTCAAGAGAGATGCTATAACTTTTTTTTTTGAGAAAAGTGACAAAATGCCACTTTCTCACCTTCTTCTTTGAGCAAACACATTGCAAGCATCAATACAATTGGTTTAAAGTTTTCTTTCTAATGTGTATTACTAGATACAGAGTTTGAATATGTACATTCAAATTTCCAAAAACTCACACATGCATACCTAGTTAATTGCTCAAGAGAGATGCTGTGACTTTTTTTTAGAAAGGTGACAGAACTCCAATTTCTCACCTTCTCCTTTGAGCAAACATATTGCAAGCATCAATACAATTGGTTTAAAGTTTTCTTTCTCATGTGTATTACCAAAAAGTAGGGCGTGAATATGTACGTTCAAATTTCTAAAAATTCACACGTGCATACCTAGCTAATTGTTTAAAAGAGATGTTGTGACTTTTTTTGAAAAAAGTGATAGAATGCCACTTTTTCACATTATCTTTTTATCAAACACCTTGCAAGTATCAATGTAATTGATTCAAAACTAATTTTTCATATGTATTGACACAATCCACTCAACTTCAACAATTTTATTTTCATACATGTTTCCAATCAAATTAATAAAATCGTCAAAAAGAAACTTCATAAATGTTAATTATAGATTATGAGATTTTAACTAAATCTAATCATGAAATTCAAACAAAAATGAGATGGATAATGGGCCATAATCATGGAATCCAAAACATAGAAATACCTGTAATTTTGTTTGTGTTTTTGTGGAAGATCTACTAGACTTTTTTTTTCAGATTTTTCAATGTTTTTCTGGATGGTTTCCTCGATTTGAAGAATGAACAAACTTTGTTTATGTATTTGTGGAAGATTTCCTCTTTTTCCTTTCAATTTTCCTTTGGTTTTTGCATATTTGAGGCTGATTTATGAGGATTGTCGTGAGTTTAGGTTTTGAGCGTATATTTTACATTCAATTTTAAGTAATTACAATTTAATCCAAGTTTATAATGTTTTTTTCAAAACAACCCAAAAATATAGGGTATTTTT